ATAAGTGTCTTTAATTTGTGAAATTTACTTCTTTATGTCTTATATTATAAGGATTATAATATAGACCTTAATTATTATTATACTAGGCAATACTTTGTACCAGAGAATTTCAATACAAGACCTTGTAGACTTCTGATAATTAGTGTAAAATGATCTCTATAATTTGTAAAATACATTTGAGTTTTAAATGTCAGGGACACTCAGACATCTCTATCAAATGTTGAATTTCTACAGTTTAACATAAATATTGACAGATTTTCTTTACCTCCAACATTAAAACTTGTCAATTTGTATATATATTTACAGAAACTTTTATCTGTTCATTTTCTAAGCATTTATGGCAGACAACATCTTACACATAAATATGAAGAAAAAGATTTTTACTCTTAGCATGTATGAATATAATAACAAATGTAGCAGTTTTATTTTGTGTCATGGGTTGGCTGTAACCAACTGTTTTATTAGGACCCTGTTGTTGACATATTAACATTAATATTCAAATTAAATTGTGAGGTTGACCTGGTCAGTTCAGGTTAATGTACTTTGTAGCTAAGTGAACAAAATGACAAATAAGTTTTAATCACCTCATTAAGGTCGAGTGAATAGTTAAATTTAAAGGTATTTCATGGTGTAGTAACTGTAACTTCTACCATTAAACCAGTTGATTTAAATTAGAAACAAGTTTTTAAAGTAAACATGTTGCCAGTCATTACAAAATGGCTTGTTGACAAATAACATAGCTGGTATGCCATCATTTCTGATTTAAATTTAAGAATATTATGGATAACATTACATTAGATATTAGTTTTTTGGGGCCATTTAGCCAATTAGTTTTGCAATAATTATTTTTTGTCATCCAAAAATTTTCAGATGTAATCTGACAAAAATAACCACTGACATCAAATGGATTTAACCTATTTTTATTGTTTTCTGTGCTTTTAACTTGTTTGTATGTTACTGTTAATATGGTTTTATTTTCATAATTTCTTCCCAAATTCGATATTGGGGTGACATTAAGGCTGAAAGATTTTAAAGATAATAGGCTATTTTTTATCTTCTTGTATTACTGATGATGTTGAATCTCTCATAACCTATTGGCCAACCACAGGAGGTACAACAGTGCCAAATACCAATAAGGCCGCAACCTAACATTAACCCATATCTCAACCAATGGGAACAAGCCTCCCCTTTTAACATCTGGCGTTTGACTTTTCTGTGCTGTGTACTGGTGTAAAGAGTGTATTCAGCTTGTACTATTGCATTATTTAGCCGATTTATTTTCATGATTTGAAGAAGTCAGAAAAAAGTAATAGAAGCTTAATGCCAATACCATATTATTATAAATTTGCAACCATATATAAAATCTTGTAAAAATAGTCCATGTATAATAAAGGTTGGATTATAAGATTTATAGGACTGCAAACATTGAACTCTAGCTCTGTGATGGGAATTACATCATTAAATCGGTTAGAACAGTTGAAAGAATGATTATATTGAGTTTTCAATTAAGAAAAAAAATCAATGATCCCATATATAGGTTTAGTTCTGTGGAGTTATTACATGAATGAATAACCTACATTTATATGATTAACCATTTATTATTGGAAATATGAATAACTATTTTAAACTTTTGACATTGAAGTATTTCCACATATTATTAGGAATGAATTAACATGGGTTTTTTTGTATCTGAAAAGAGTCCAAATTTCTTTATGTAATTTCACACAGTGAATTTAAAAGGCATGAACCATGTTTTATTTAAGAAATAATTAACTACTAAGTATGTACAGCATTAACTGAAAATTTTCACTTTGAAAAATTACATCCTGTTCCAAATCATGTCACCTCTAAGCTTAGATATATATTTTAATACATTACACGGTACTGAAGATATGACTTTTCTTAAATTTTTGATTACATCCCTTCAAAAAAAAAAACAACCCCAAAAAATGATAATACAGTTAAAAAATAATTTTATTTTTGAAAAAAACAATTATTTAGAAAAATGGCATTTGTATTAAAAGCAAAAAAAAAACATTGTTAAATATGGTATTGTTGAGGAAAATTGGCTGTGGACAGGGGTAAAAATATATAGTTAAATAGTGGTGGGTGGTCCATCTAAATGTGAAAAAACCCCAACAAATGTATGGTAAGGAAGTTATTAATTAGTAGTATAATTTAGTTCATTTGTTTTATAGCCATTGGAAAATTGGACAGTTAATAATGTGATTGATTGGATGGCTGCTTTGAACCTCTATCGATACGCTGAAACCTTTCGAGAAGCAAACATCACAGGCCGAGACCTGAATAACATGGATGAAGAAAAATTAAGGGTAGGTTTTCCTCCTTTATATGCCCACATTGAAATGTCATATATTGTCGTCGCCCCTGTCCAGCCATCAGTCCAACATCCACCTCTAGAGGCTAAAGTTAATATCCGATTGACTTTAAATTGATACGCATGAGACAAAGAAGTCTATTGATAAACAAGGATTACCGATAATTACTACAGGAGTTATGGCCCTTGATCACTTTCAAAAATCGTGTTGTCATTCTAGAGGCTAAAGTTAATATCCGATTGACTTTAAATTTATACAGTGATTAAGTTTATAAGACGAAGAAGCCTACTGATTTTCAAGGAATTCCGATAAATTGTCAGAGTTATGGCCCTTGATTACTTTGAAAAATCTTGTGGGCTCTACAGGCCAAAGTTATCATTCGATTAATTTCAAATTTACTAACTGTGTTAAGGTCATGAAACGAATATTTTTATTGATTTTCAATGAATTTTGATAACTTGAACAGCTAAATCCATGATATTAAATGTTTTGTTAGCATAGGGCAGAACTAAAAACTAGAAGCCAAACAAATTCTACTGATTTCTGATAATACTTCATGAGTTGTTATTTAATCAGATTTGAGTGTTTTATAAATGTTTCATTACCGACAAAAGAAAAAATATTTGACAGCCCTTGTTGACTGCCAAGACATCTTAGCTACTTGGGCGTATGTTTTGTTGCCTGGCAATCTATTTTTAAAATTATTAGAGCTTGTCAAAATACTTATTATGCATGGTTTTTCAAGGCAACGTTTGTTTTCATGTATACCTTAATGCAGAAATAGTAAATATTTCATGTATGTTTAAATTCAGGATTAATATATTTTATTTTCTTTATCGTATTAGATTATGGGTACTTGTTAAATAATTCTGTGTTGGTTTTATTCAAATTTGAAATGGAAAATTCTGTTGGATGTTTTGGTTCCATATATTTATGTCATAAACAATATCATGCACAGATTTAACTAGAAATCAAGTTAAATTTATTTTGGCCTCAATGAACAATATAATGCCTTGATCTACAATTTTACTTGTAAATAAATAGCACATAAGTTTGTCAAAGTTTTATTTTTGTAACCTTGGCCCGCCCCCCAACATATATATGTACAGTATCCTGTTCACATTTCTATATTCTTCCTTTTTGACCTACTCCCAAAATTATATGTCTGCAAATCTGTATATATTTACTCATATATTTTGATTTATTTTATATATTATCTATTTAAAAGTAACAAAAATATCCACTTTATTATAAAATCAAAGATCATAAGATAAATAATACCCTATAACATCTGTGGTTGACAAACTCTCCGCATATTTTGTTCATTTTTTTGTCTTAAATACAGAATTTACAGGATATAATTTACAACAGGTCACATCCCTGCTGCTCAAAAAAGATTTTTTAATTAAATTAATGAATACTTCTATAGATATTATTGAATATGTTGGGGTTTTAATCAGATTTCACTGAGGTTTTGTTTTTTGTCAGTGATATTCCCCCACAAATTGTTTTTATCAGGGAAAAATAAAATACTTTTTGATTAGTAAAGTTTGCTTTATAACTAATACAATTATTCAGGTAATACTTTAAATATCATTAGAGAACATTCTTTATACAACTGGTGTGATTTAAATTTATACATTTTTTCTAAAAAGGATGTACATTTATAATAATATTGTTTGGTTAATACAATAATTCTACATGAAAGTGATATAAAATACAAGTTATTTAGTAATGAGTATAATATTATTATACAGTATAGGTTGACTGTTACAATATAAGTTGTTGAGAGATGTATTATGATATAGTCAGCTCTATAATAAAGAATATTAACATATTATTATTATGGAGAAAGCCAACTAGACAAAAATCAATATCGGATAGTCCATAGGTATATGTGTATATATAAATGTAGGTGGTCACACAGATTTAGGCCATTGCTCTCTTCTTAACATAGATTTTACCATGGTTACTATTGAATGAACAGTAAAGAAAAAGCGGAATATTAATAGCTTTCTATTATAAGGTAAAAAGGAGTTTGTAAGAGGTCAGTTGTAACAGTAGAAATTGTTGAAAAGAGCACTAGTTTGTCCTAATAAAAAAACACTAGGCTATAAGAGGGATATTATTATAAAATATAATCCTCGAGTGGCATTTAGTCATTGAACACATTTAAAACACAATACAATTTGTATGAAAAACAATCACTAGTTTGTACGCATATAACACAACCTTTAGATAAGTGTCCCCATGTCGTTATCAAGCACAAATTATAAAATATTTGTCCATTTTTAATTATGATTTTTTTTCTTATGGATGAGTAATAAAGTTTTCTTGTTATTATAATGTTTTCATATCAATCTATCTACTTTATGGGCACGTAAACACAGATATGACTAGTAATTTGCTTCAGGTAAAAAAATTGGAATCGGATTCAAAGGTTATGAACAAATCTTATTTGTTAATCCACATGTTGAGGCTATATGTGTGTCTTTATTTGGATTATCGGGGGGTTGGATGGCTGAATGGTTAGCGTGCGCGTGCTGTATCATAAAGTCTGTCATTGAGTCGACTGGCGTGTTTTCGAATCCCCGGTTGTACGTGACAAGGAGTAGGGTCGCCTGTCCAACCTCGTGGGTTTTCTCCGGGTCCTCCGGTTTCCTCCCACTGCTAAAGACCCCTATGCGCAAGCGAATTATTGAAATAAAATTAAACCATATGTTAGTCCCAAAATGACCTAGTTTGTGTCGAGTGGACGTTAAACCCCATTTCTCTCTCTCTCTTATTTGGATTATCAGTGTAAATTAAAAAATTTATTTGAATTTGGGTGAGTCACTGTGACTCAGTGAGTATGACGTTGGCTTACTAACCTGGAGGACCTGTGATCGATTCCTGCGTTGGCCGAGAAAGTTCATCTGGATTTTCTGGTGTGGTTCCCCCTTGTCAGTGGTGCAGGACGAAAGGGTGTGGCAAGGGACAACATATTATCATTTGGATGGAGTGAAAAACAGGTCCTTTGTACACATTGGTATGCACATGAAAGATCCCTTGGCAGTTGGAATTTAAAATAAGAGTAGTTTGTAGTGCCTCTGTCTGGGCAAAATTTCCCTCATAGCACACTGTATGGCATATGCTCGTCTTCATTAGTCCAGTCAGAGTAGGACATTAAACCCAATTTCATTTCAAAGGCAGTATTAATACAGTTGAAATTGAGTGCTATTTGTACATTAAATAAAGTATTAGTTTTTAGATAATTACGAGGGTCTGATTTAAGAATTCTACGTCTGAAAAGGATAGCTCAGTGGGGTTGAAACAAACTTTTGCAACCAACAAGTACAATCATTGAATGAATCATAGACTTAAGAACTGCAACTGTAGTGTTGTTATTGTCCTCGTACCAGACCATCTTGTGAATCTACCCATTGAAATCACCAGAACTGGACAAAACTGGCTATAGGGCAGTCATCAAGTACCTGCAACTGAAAGGACTAATCCCATCATAGTAAAGAAGTGGGCTTCGAAATTTAAGCATGGCAGAGAGAGCCTTGAAGATGATCCGCATCCTGAACGCCATCAACAGCCAACCGTTCAAGAAAACATTACCAGGTGCATGACATGATGGCTGATAGACAATTGACCACTCTGCATATTGCCATTGGTGTTGGCATCTCTCATAAGAGGGTTGAGCACATTATCACCAACGAGTTAGGAATGACAAAAGTTTCTGCAAGATGGGTGTCAAAGCTCTTGGCTGCGGATCAGAAACGTGTCCCGTGACAATCTGCGCAGTTTTGAAGCAATCCATGATTGTGGCTTCGAACTCATTGACCATCCACCTTACTCACCCGATTTGGCTCTGTCAGTCTTCTACCTGTTTTCAAAAATGAAAAAGAAACTAGCCGGTCATCATTTTTCTAGTAATGATGACGTTATGTCGACTGTGAACGACTTTTTTAGGGTGGCTGAGTTTATAAAAAAAAAAAAAGAAAAAGAAATTTGGAAAAAAAAATAGAACTACATGTAGAATAAAGGCATGTAGTCATGTACTAAATTATTGTGATACTTAGTTTTTCCTTTTTAATGTTCATGGGGGTTGGATGGCCGAATGGTTAGCATGTGCGTGCTGTATCATAAGGTCTGTCATTGAGTCAACTGTCCTGGTTTCTATTTCCCAGTTGTACCTGACAGGGAGTAGGGTTGCCTGTCCAACCTCGTGGGTTTTCTCTGGGTCCTCCGGTTTCCTCCCACTGCTAAAGTCTCCCACTGCAAATAAAATGTTGAAATAAAATTTAACCATATGTAAGTCCCGTAAGGACCTAGTTTATTTCTCTCTCTCTCACTCTCTCTCAATGTTCATGTGTCATTGCTTAGCTTGGTGCCTTTTTTTTTGTTAGTTAAAAAATAAGATTTCCTGGCCTTGACGTTATTGTAAATAAAATGGTAGACATATGCTCAAGAATTTTTAAAAATAATTGAAATAAAAAACTGGTACTGTACAGGGAGCTATAGGCCTTAATCACGGACTCCAAAGACTACCATTCAATATGGACTCTTCGCGTTTCATCGTCATTTGTAACAAGGGACTCGAAGAACGAGACTAGACATATTCCACAAGTTATGCCAAATGGTGACCCCATATTCTTAACTGGAGAGCATGCGCAATAAATACTATCGGTGTGGACTGGAATAACCAGACGTTAGAGATTGCCATGCGATTGAGACTTCTGGTGTATTTCGATAAACATAACTGATTTGAAATTAGAGTAAAAAGGGAAAAGATTGGATGTAAATCAGTTTATATACATTCATATTACATTATTATATGCGTTGCAACCCATTTGTGTCAATTTCTAGGTCTCAAATATTAGTAATTTAGCTCCTTTAAGTGTTCCAGAGTTTTGTTTCTTGTATTCAGTAAATATTTAATTTGATACATTGTGTTAGACAATATACATGTTGGTAAGTTAATAGCATTTGAAGTACCGGTAGTCAAATTTCAAGGTGATTTACTAAAATTGTCCTAAAGCCTCTACTTGGCAAGTTTCCAACTAATTCAGGTCACCGTGTGACATGTGATCTGCCTGTGCCCTACATCCCTTGTTGCAGCAGCAGTTGTGACCTACTGAATGGGTGAAATGCTTGACAAGTTATAAATAGAATCATGACGAAAGCCAGCTAGCACAGAGCTGGCGCAGGCAAGTCGTCATACATTTACTCAGTTAACCAGTAGACAGCTTACTGTATGGTCGAATGTTAATGTGCTGTACAACATTTACCGTTCGATTTGCTGGAGACACATGTGCAAGGAAAGACGTTAACAATTAAAAGTACAATATATTTGTAGTTTTAATTTGTAAATGTGAACTATTTTCATGGCTTTATATTATGGAAATTGTGGTTATGGCTTCACACAAGCTCATAAATATCAGGTAGGCTAACCTACTTTCTTCTTGGTTTTTGTGCTACTGACTGGCCATTACTTTCTTCGCAAACGATATATTTTTCCTCTCATTCGTCTGCTACGAGCAATGTAAATCGACATGTAGTTCGTTTACACCGTTATTTCTTGAGAATGGTCTATATTATTGGACAAAGAACTATGCCTATTACCACCGAATAGAAATTGTATGGTACCGGTGCGGTATATTTGTGGAGAAGTGGATCAGTTTTAATCATTAGATAATTTTCTCTTGTGCCTTTGATGGTGTATTAATCTAGGATTTATTTGAAAGAAAAAGTTGTTTCTGTATATTAACTGATAGTGGCCAGTCAACTTTTTTTATCCTCAATGTATAAAAATGTAGGCCTATAATAGTTCAGGTTTATTATGAGGAATTGATTAACCGATTTACCCAACAGTAAAAATGTTGTTCTAACAAATTTCAACAGTCTAATTTCATAGTATTTAGTAGTAATTAATTTATTCTGTTTCAGGAAATGGGAATAAAAGACGAATTCCATCAAAAATCTATTCTAGTGTGCATTGACGAATTGTGTGGGCAGAACTCAGACGCGGTAAGTCTTATAGGCCTACTCTTCTTAAAAATTTCTATCTTTCCCTATGCCATCAGACTCCTATGTTGGTTAAAGTAGCTTTTTCTGAGGAACGAGTTAAGTAGCTTTTTTCCCAGGTAGAGTAGATTTAAATGTCTGCAGAATTTAAAAAGAAGACAGCCTGTAAACTTTATAACTAACGCTAGTTAAACTATAACCGTGCCTTTGCAGTTGTCTTAAGTTAAAAACATATCTAAGCCTACATAAAGTTACTGACTACATTAAAATTGTGTTAAATGTGACGGGACAGTACTTGATAAGCAAGAGAAAGAAAGTATAAAAGATGGGTTGCTCATAATATGTAGTTAGAAAGAATAAAGCTTAAAAGGTCACAGCCGTGTCTGGACTTTTCACTGAAGCGTAACTCATACATTAACCCAGAAACGTCAAAGCCTATTTCAACACATGCATTCTTGTACTGTATTGCTTCTCGCATATAAAAGGAAATTTAACGTAAATTGCTCATTGCTGCCTTGAGGGTTTAGTCATATTATTACCCCCATTCTACTAGGATTATTGAACTGTTTTATATCTAAATATTCCTTTGTGATCTATGTCACTCAGTGCAACATATTTATATGTATTACATAATTACACCCAATATCGGTTTCAATTATAGGAAATGTCCTGTTTTTAAAGCCGTAGTGTTCAGAAATAATTAACTTTGAAAAGGAAATCAGGTGCTTAATAATATTAATATGGCGTCTTTATGACTTTCAGTGTAAGACTACGTGTCAGATGTCAGACAGAATATAGATTCTTATCAAATGCTTTTTTTTAAACACCCAAATATTATTGATATTCATACACCCAATATTTCTTACTAGGTGTAATAGATATATAAGAACAGTGGTATCAAATTTGCATAATTACTTAACCAAGTTAAAAATCCCCACCCCCATCTTCTTCTAACCTAGCTAATGCAAAAGTACTTATTGAAAATATTGTATGGTTTATTTCAAGTAGATCATTATGTCTTTAAACATATTTTACATTCATTGTACGTATCTACTTTTTATATCTTACTGTTAATGAAAGTTAATTCAAGTTGAACTACCGGTTTCCGATACTTTTTCTTCTTATGTACAGGATACCAAACTTAAACTCGTTTATTTTAATTTTCTAATTATAAAGTACTTCCACTTAATGAGTCAAATTGGCTGCCGAATGTAGTTCGATAGTTTTGTGGTTAGATTTAATTGGACTAAAACTTGCCATTTTTTTTCCCCGTACTACACTGATGAATTGATTAACAATGAAAGAACAATGGAATTGAATACTTTTAGTGCTTCAAAAAATATAAGTGAAGTTGTATTGATTTTCTGTGATATATTTTCAGCAACCGTATGCTTCAAGATTACCGCCAGTGCAGTGTGCTGATATGGAAGGTATTTTGATTCTTCTTTAAACATACCAATATTTAATACAAGATACATTTAAAACAGTTTGAATCTCTTATTATGTCTTTTATTTTTTAAATCACTAATTGATTTTATTCTTTATTCCAGCCTCTGGGTGTTCAGCAGCCACAGAGCATAGATTTGCAGAGTACAATTTCTCCTCAATGCAGCGTTGTCATCTTTGTGATAAATTTTTGTATGGTTTAGTTCATCAAGGTCTTCAATGTCGAGGTCAGTTAGGATACTATGTGCATTTTTCATTGAAAGTACAAAAATTATGTGATGTATTTATTTATGGAATTCTTTATTTTAATATCTTTACATAGTTTGCCGGCATTAAATATACAATTTTCTTTAGTGGTTTTAATTAATTCATGAAATTTTGAAAATGTACCTTTTGTGAAATTTTAGTTATGATAAATTTTTTATGTGCAGAGTGTGGATTATGTTGTCATCGTTTCTGTTCAACAACGCAGCCCACAGAATGTAATGTCCCAAAATTAGAACGTATACGAAGACCAAGTTTTACACAAAGTAAGTAATTTCATTTATGAACTTAGATCTTTACACATGTTTGGGGACCGAAACTCACCCGTTGTGTTACAAAATGACAAGCCTCTGTCAGTGGCTATATTTTATAGCTTTTTCAGGGAAACTAAATGATTTCTGATCCTAAAAAAAAAGTTAAGGTCTGGGACAGATGTTTTGTACATCGTCTTTATTGAGTACATGTGTAGTTGAAGAGATAAAACTAATTAAACTGAGACTATGAAACCTATTCTTCTTATTTGTAGACAGTGTGACACAATATTTTGACATTTATACCATATACTAAATCATAAATATGTACATTTGAAAATTATGGGCGTTAACTAAAGAGTTTTATTTACGTCACCAGTATTCTTGAAGAATTTTAAGTAAAATAAAAAAAAATATTTCAATATCAGGAGAAAAGAGATGGATTAACATGTGAAAAGTGAAGCTTAAAAAATTCTAAGGGTGAGGGATGCATTTTGTCTTTAACTAAAGTATTTTCACTGTGGTATGTTATTTTACAGATTCAGTCTTTGGTTTAGAATTGTCTGATGAAGTAAACAAGTCTGGGAAAGAAGCACCCCTTGTTTTAATGATGTGTGTTCAGGAAATTGAACAGTGGTGTCAGGAGCATAGTAAGTCATCCGATTCTCGATTAGAAATAAACTTGCCTAATAGATTGTTGATCATTAATTTGTCAAAGCTCTAAATTTAGTTTTCCTTATTAGACATAGTTATTTAGTGTACCATACTTTCAATAATTTAACAATATTGGTGTTGGTATTTTAATTAATCTGTATTTTAAGTACATTAATTCATTATTTTCTAGATGCAGAAGCTTTAAGTGTCTACAGAATATCATCGAAAGCTGAAGAAATTAATGAAGTCAAGGCAGTGTTTAATCAAGGTACCGATAACTAATTTCTGACGTAATAATATAATGTAAGAAATATTTTGCCATGACTTTGATCATCGTTAGTTACGGTCACAGATTTCACAGGGTATCTGTTGATAAGAGTAGGTTTATGTTTACAAATTAAATGCCACAATATGTACAAAGTTTTAACTCAAAATAAAGTCAGCTGTGATCACTAGATTTGGTTAACATGATTACTAAACTCATTGTTCAATTGCGTGAGTGACCTGATAATCGTGGCAATCAAGTTGCACTATACCCTGACAAATATGTAGACTTGGCTCTCCAGACACTGGGGTAATTTGTTTTCTTTTTTCCAACAACAAAGAATACAACAGAGGTTCAAATAGTGTAGCAGGGCCAAGACAAAGGTGTTTAGGAGACAACCACAGAGTAAAATCATCAAGTTTATTTTTATAAATTAAAAAAAGTATGAAAATTTGTATATTAATGATCGATATCTATTTTTGTAGGGGATCCAAGCCAGGTTAATCTGTCATCTTTTAGTGTTCATTGTGTTGCTGGTGCACTGAAAAAATATTTACGTGAATTGCCTGATCCTGTTATACCTGTTGATATGTACAGTCGTTTTATTGATATAGCCAGTAAGTAATACTTCCTTATTAACATTTACAGAAATTGGGTATTTTTTAATTTTACTGTCATAAAGGAGGTTAACCTCTGTGATTTTGGTCAAAATAAATTATTGAATTGGGTTGATCTGGTGTTTTATTTCAATTAATCATGTCATACCTAAATCTGTTCATTTTAAGGATACAAAAATATAAGAAGCCAGAAATGAGATATCCATAATTCTTATGATCTTCAATATTTTGGGAGTTCAATTTTATAATAATTAATTTGATCTTTTTCTCTACAGAAAACAAAGCCTCTAGTTCTAAGTCATTGCTGGATTTAATGGAAGAATTACCTGCCCCTCACAAAAGCACTCTTCAGTATTTAATGGCTCACTTTTGTCGGCTGTGGCGACATCAGCATGAATCAGGAGTCACAGATGGTCTTGATAAGCTCTCACATGTATTTTGTCATGTTCTGTTACGGCCTCCATGGGAAAATATCATGTAAGTAAATAATTTATCTTTAAATATTTTCTGTTGTGACCTATTTGACAAGTAATATTTGTTAAAGATGCATTATGTAAGAGCTAAATCTGCCTATTGTAGGTCTTTCTTTAGGCCTTATATGTTATCAAAATGATCAATTAGGCATTAATTAACTTACCAAGACCATAATCAACTCTGTTATATTTAGGGATTCATTATTATTGTAACAACAGTAGTAATGACAATCAAGGCTACCCTATAATTAAATCGCTAATATCTAGGTTCAGAGTGAACATACACTCTTTTCATTATCTATTTTTAACGATTTTCTACGAGAACTGTCGGCTGTTAATCTAATCTTACCTAATGCTGCTTTAATGTTGAATTTATTTCACCAAATTTATATTAAAAGTGTTAATGAATTTGTGTTACATTTATTTCACCACATTTATATTAAATGTATTAATGAATTTTTGTTACGTTTATTTTAGCGAAATAGTTGAAAATACCAAACTACACATAGAAATATTTGAAGAATTAATGCGTAATGGTTCATGGGGTGAAGTTATCCCACCCATTCCATCACCACCAGTTTTACCACCTAGTAAGTTACCTTCACCTTGACAATAAACATGACATTAACCTACATTTTATTTTATATTGTCAGTCTAATACAATAAACACCTTTGTTTTAAATAATAAACAACCAAAAATATTTTAAAGAGTATAAACTTATTTGACAGGACAGGAAATGTAGCACTGAGATACATACAAAATGTCAGCATGTATTGGGAACTTCTGATTAAATTTGACAAGATGTTAGTGATGTTGCATTCAGGTTAATTTTAATTATTGTACTTGGAGATTAAGAGATTAAGTTATAGGTAATGACCTGTGTTTGGGTGTGGTATTGTGCAGTAATTAAGTATTATAGCTCCTTTAATAAGCATTAATTATTAAATATACAACTATATATATTTTTTTCCTTCTCAAGGACCAGCACGTCACACCCACTCGACAGCAGTGACATCCCCAACTGTAGAAGATAAATTAGAGAACTATGAATGGTACTGGGGTGATTTATCGAGAGAAGAAGTCAACGAGAAATTACGAGATACACCTGATGGTACCTTTTTAGTTCGTAATGCCACAAGTCCGGGTGATTATACACTTACATTAAGGTATGTATAAAAATTGTATATATCATAAACATATCCTTATTGCTCTTCTATATAAATATAAATTACAGTACAATTTTATCCTTCCTATTTCCGTCATAGAATGAGGATAACAGGAAAACACATTAAAACATCAAGTTCTAAACTCAAAAACACTTGCTTATATTTACACCAAGTTTATACAGTACTAAGTAGGTAACAACAATGTAAAGTACATGAACTAACTATTAATAGTGTACATTAGTTATAAACATAATGTAGTAATAGTGTGACAGTATTAACAGTCTGTTCTATATTTATTATAGGAAAGGGGGCAGTAATAAACTTATCAAGATATATCATAAAGATCACAAGTATGGTTTTGTGGAACCATTGGAATTTAACTCTGTGGTAGAATTAATTTCTTATTATCAACACAACTCTTTAGCTATTTACAACAAGACGTTAGACATTAAACTACTGTATGCTGTTGGCAAAAATATGGGCATGGTAAGTTGAATGTTATAATTTGAATATTTGTTTAAATATGAAATATATATATAGTATGATAAGGTATATATTACATATAATAACAGACAGCTTTATGGATGACATTCACTAGGTTTATTAACTGCAACGTTTCAATGAGGTTACTCTCACCGTTGTCATTGCTGTCTGTTATTATATATCACTTTCACTAAATGCCTTTCAAAGACACTATATATTACATAGTTTAAAATGGGGGGCATCTAACAAGGATGCATAAATTTGAAAAAGGGATGGGAGCTTCCTATAAGAGTGATTGACATACAGGAACTTGTTGACAGACATAAAGTGCTACATAAATATGAGAAATTGAAATTCTGTTTTTTAGGATAATGGAACAGCTGAAGATGTTACTGAAGAAGTCAATAATCTTATTAAAATCAATCATGAATATGTGGAAAAAACTGGACTTTATGATCGGTTATATGAAAAACATTCCAAGACATCATTGGAACTTCAACTAAAACACCAAGCCTTAGATGCCTTTAAGGAAACCCTTGTCGTGTTTGAAGAACAGATGGATCTTCACAAACGCAACCATAAAGATGCAGCTCCTCATGAAGTCCAAAAGTAAGTTATTTTTTTTGTAAAATTTAGTCAAGGCTGGTATGTTTATGATAAAAATATGGTTACAAGTTATGAAGTTTTGCCATATGTGAATAGTTGAAAGCTGGGTTTGACCTTAATTTGTTGAAAACATTTGGTTATTCATCACGTTTTTGCAGATTTAGAACAAGTTGTTTTTTTCCACCATGATTTATAGTTATGTAGCATGTGGAGATATATATATAATGGTATGGCCTAGATACAGTCTCTGTATTAACATTTGTTTATCTTTTGCAGGCTGCATGAGAATTATGAATTATTAAAGTCCCGCTACCTCAGTATACAGGAGAGTAAAAGTGCTTTAGAAGTGGACATCAATAGAAAGTCCAGTCATAATCGTGGATTGATCAGTGAAATGAACAGTATGAAACCTGAGATAAAACGCCTTTATAAACAGAGAGAACAACTTAAAAAGTAATTCAAATATTCTATTTTAACACACCAACATTAAATTATAAAACAGTACAGATTTTTGACTTTTGGAATACAATATGCTTATGCTTTTAATAGAAATTTTATCACTGAATATATAATAGAACAGTGTTCAATATTACTGTTATATACACCATAATACCGTATTATCTATGTATACATTTTGTGGTACAATAAATCTTGAATAACATACTTAAATTTGATATAACCAATCTACTACTGGATATTAGTTCATGTAAACAAGAATACATAAGACTCTGGTTTGTTTCAGATGGCTGATTGATCGAGGTAAAACTGCCGATATGTTAGATAACTTATTAGAAAACAAATGTGAAAGGTAGGTTAATATAATTTACTTGCCAAGTTTCTACTGTAAATGTATGTATATTCAGGTTGTTATGTTGATATTTACAGTACATGTAAGTCATGTAGGATTTTCAGGAAGGAAAAAAATATATTTGTCAAGAATGCTGTTGATCAAAATAGATATGTCAGTTAGGTAAAACTTCGAAAATTGAAATACTGTATTTCACCGAAAGGGTTGAACACAGAATGATCTTTAAGGGTTTCACAATTCTGTTTTGATTCTTGAAAATGTCAGTGATATATGATACATGAAAATGTCAATGATTATATATAATATATATATATATAGTGACAAAATGTGACTCGATCTTCTCAAAACAAATAGAATAAACATTATCTTGAAGGAAGTTCTTCACAAATATAATTCAACTTGTCATTCACAATTCTTCCTAATTTCACTCAATGTGACAACTTATTTAACTGACTGTAATGTTTATATTTTCAGTATTGCTGAAACACATGGAGAAAGTGACCATAATGTACCTCATTTAAATGAATCCTATTGGTTAGTCAACTGTGAACGTGAGAGAGCCGAAGAGATGTTACGAGATAGACCTGATAGTACATTTTTAATACGACCTAAACCGGATTGTCATGTTTTATCTATTGTGTAAGTAGATGCATATACAGACAATAATAGAATATTCATTAAATTTACAAGTTATTTTATCCTTAAAACTCTAGGGTTTAAATTACTATCTAAACAACAGAGTTTAGTGGTTATATTTATATAAGGAAAATGAGTATTGTCCTCCTGGCATATTGCAGTTATACTGAATAGAGGTAGTTTTTCTACAGCAAGTTTAAAACTGATGAATTATTATATGATTAATAGTGTAACATTTCTGTTATTTTAGGTATCGTGGTGCTGTCGGCCATTGTAAAATCTTCCATAAAGACACAGGTTATGGTTTTGCAGATCCATATTTTATATTTAGAACATTAAAAGACTTGGTTGTCCATTATCACAAAACCTCTCTAGCAGAGCATAATAACGAATTAGACGTTTCATTAAAGATACCTGTGCGTGCTCCCCCTGCAGAGGCTGTTTATCTGCGAATGAATACACCTTAAAAATAAGATCAACAATACAAACTGATGACTACAGACAAAGGTGACCAGGCCAGTTATTGGCCAGAATATGTGTTCATGTTGTTACTATGTATGTTCAGAAAAGCAGGAGGATTTGGAAAGAACCAAGCATTCACCTCAGCATAATCATAGAATGTGTTATGGATTATTATGTGTAAAAATAAAGCCTTGTGTAGTTTATGGATATCCTGGAACTGATGATGTTCTAAATAAGTGCTATATTCGTGTAGAAGGTCTGTATGTTGATATACCAGGTGCTTTATATAATACATACACCTACATGTATTGCAATAACAATACTTCAAGAACTTCACAACACTTTTTGGTGAATGTATGGTATCCATTTGATAGAGAGGTGAAGATACCATTTCCATGTTTGGTGGAACTTGTCCACACAAAATATGAACAACACTTGACAACAGCTAGTTTCTAATATATGGAGTACGAGACATGTTGTGTAAACCAGTGACTATAAAAGTGTATTCAGGTTTTATGTATAAAACAAACTATCAAACTGTTATAATGACATTTTTTGATAGAAACTGCTGTGATCTTTATATTATTATAACATTAAATAAAACAAACTCTACAAAGTGTTCATAAATTTCAATGTGAGAGAGATACTATATATTAATGTGTGCGTGTGTATGAGTGTATTATGAGAGGTAATGAATCAAGACAATGTTATGTTGTACTATTATTATTACTATTATTGCTACATTATTTTATAAAAGTGTTAATATCAAGTGCTTTATTAAAAATCTTGATGTAAAACTAGAGAGATGGCATGATTTCTTGTTGAAATAAGAAGAATGGAAAACTTTATGAATATATAGTCTAATATGATGATTGTGATAGTTTCAATAATAATTAATGATTTTCAATGGACCAGCATCATAATTTTATGTTGATAACAATAAAAGTCATGCTACTTTCAGGGATTATAATTTAATATTTCAATGATGCATGTTTATAAGAAATTTGAATTCAAGATTTGTGTCACTATTATTCAGCTTGCCAATAGTTTATCTTCATTAGGTTTTTAGTGTAAAATATTTCAATAAAGTAAATATTCAAACCTTACAATAAATATACAGGCTACTTTAATGCTAAGTAATGACTAATGTTGGAGCCAAACATTTCGAAAATTGAAATTTTGCACAACAATAAATTTGACATTCAGATATTATTAATATCTAACATACATGTAGTGAAACTAAAAGTTGGCCAGTATTTTCAACTGAATTGCAATGAGTTTTAAATAGTGTGTTTTGTGTACTATCAACTCATTTTACAAACTTTGTATGAATGGCATTGTAAAAGGATACCAAAGGGTGACATAAATTAAAATGGCAATTATGACTATCATTAGAACATGTATATGATCAACAACATCATTTTAGAACTCTTAGAGATTATATTTTAATAGCACTTCATCTCTCATTTGATTGTCAAGTTTTTATTACAATTACTAATTTAATTTTAAATTCAATATGGTGCAATTCATTTCTTTTTTTGTTGCTTGAAGGATAATGTTTTATATAACATTGCTAAATGATTTCTGAGAATTTATAGAATATGTTTATAATAATCATACATTTGGTTAAATTGGTAATTATATAAAACAGTATATTTTCTACTCTTATTATAATTTACTTACTGACAAAATGAATCATGTTCAAAATACAGTCTAAAATAAAACACATCTCCATTTTATGTACATTATATATGATTATTTTACGAAAGAAGTGTACATACACAATATGTGGCATAACTATGTGATATGAACAACAATATTACTGGTATGTGTAATCATTGTGCCTCCATACACAATTCTTGTACATGATAATACTGTACAATTAATTGAACGAAGTACATTAAAAATGTTGACTTTATGTAATGTGTTTGTTTTGTTTAGTGCTCTATAAGAAATCTTATATTCAGTCACACACAGAACCCAATTCAACATTGATTTGGGGCCTACTATTTTCAAACAAATCTATATGTGATATAACAAATTCTTAAACAAATTGACATATAAATTGAGGGGCGGTGGGGGGGGGGGGTAAATTATGTGGGTCTTGAACTCACCTGCAGTTGAGTTGCATTGTTTGTGCTGCCTTAAATATGGCCCTGTCTACACAGTAGGCTAAAAAGTGTCCAGTGAAAGCTTGTTATGTATGCAAGTCATGGATTTATATCCTGGTTTTGTTCTCAAGCAAATTATTTTTTAAAAAATACTACCAATCTATTTACGGTTCAAATGGAGGTTCAACTACATTTCTCTGTCGCTCTCTCAGTCTTTATGATCTAATATGTAGATTACCGGTCTATGTTTTAAAATGCCTAATATCTATGCAAGTGGGTTCAATCCGTGCATGCCAGTCCGGCACTCACAAGCAAATTATTGAAATAAAAATCTACCACAGGCTAGTTCTGACATTGCCTTGTTATTGTCAACCCCATTTCTCTTTTTCACAATGGTGCATGAATGATAATCAAAGAATGAAGCAGAATACTTCCAATACTTGAGACAAGAGTTAAATTTGCGCCACTAACCTAGTGCCCATCACATCAGTAGAGGAGTTACTTTTTTAACACAGTTCTTTATCAAGAAAATGTGATTTAATATGTTGACGTTACGGTCTTCGCTCCGCTATGCTAAAAAAAATATTGTGTCTTCGTCCCGTAATCAACAAACTACTTAATTATAATTGGTAAAACATTACCCATTTGTTTCAAATCACCAGCGGTAAAATGAAATCTATTGTACAATTAAATATCCAGGGGCATACACAAATTCTCTCTTGAAAAACTGGACCCATAACAAACTTTGACATCGGAAGTCCCATAATGGATGCTTATTAGCTTTATTACGTCAATTTTTTTCCGGCCTTGACACGCAACTATGAGGTAGCATGATTTGCCAAAAAACACACAAATTAAACAAATGAAATGGGGTTTAGTGTCCTACTGGCTAATGAAGACGGGTCATACGACATACATGTACAGAAATGGTTCCACTACTGATGTCTTGCTCCAGCCACACAAGTGGATCGTTCTAAGGATTTCCTTTGATCAAGGATTTTTAGCCATTTGACTACCAAAAAAAAAGTTACTGGCATATAACTCCCTTAATTTCTAATTAAACTGACCCCTAACTGTACTGCATATAACTTAACATATGATAAACCAATTCCCATTAAAATTAAATCAAATGAAATTGGGTTTAACGTCCTAATCAAGAGGGGCATACGCCATGATCCAATGGCAATATAGAAACGTATAATTAAGATAGCTAACTTAAATCTAAGTTTAATCTAAATCTAACTGATATCTCGCATTATTCGACTACAAAAGTATTCAGACTGAACAAACCTTTAAAACACAAATTACTGTCTAAAGCTCACGCCCAAAAGAGTAAAACAGAACGAAAATGGGTGAACAGTGCAGCCAATGTCAGATCTTATGATTTTACAACTTATAATGATCGGGTCTTCACAAGAAAAAAAGGGCAGCACCTTAAGTTGACAGCAGAAACAACAGAAATCTCCTCCTCTGAAACATTCAAATACGATCACTAAGACCCGCTTATATACTCTTCAAAAAAGTAGGGGATATTGAAATGCAAATACCTATGCAGGTTGTGATATGATAAATAGTCATGGACACTTGACATACTTTGAGAGTATGTTAACACTTGAAGAACTTATCGCCCCAACAGAACCGCTGAGCTGCACATGCGACACGCAATAGCGCCATACACGTGAGAGGGGTTCATTGTCAAATTTGACACTTCACGGAAGGCTTGATGAAAAATGCCGAGTGCTGGTTTATCTATCAATGTTTGCTTTCCTATCGGTTTTTGCGTAAGATTTACTGTTTAATGTATCTTTGCTTTAGTGTGTTACGTTTAATTTGATCGGGAGACGTGTTCGTCAACGTCAACGTCAACCGACAACACTGCAAGAATTGGCCGTGGCATTGCAAGAGGAGTGTGCCAGATTGCCCCAAATCGTAATTGGACGGTTGATTAGGAGTATGCCACGACGAATTGCTGAATGTCTGAGGATTGGTGGAGCAATTATTCATTATTAAGACAAAAATCAAAAACGTCCATTTACACTTTTGACGGTGTATATCTCTGTGAGTGAAATGGGGCCGTCAGATAAGCCGCCCAAATGAACTGTTTATGTTCATGTGTCGGCAATTGGCCTGTTATTAGCATACCCTGGTTACCTCTAATATAAACAGCAGTGCATTTCCGCAGTTTTGTATTGTTTCTGAATATCCCCTACTTTTTTTTGAAGAGTATATATAGTTGGCTTCCCGATGTTAATATTAAAACCTACTAATATCAATCCGTCTAAGGGTTATCTCCAAGTTTTTTTTGTTGTTTTTTTTTGGGGGGGGGGGTCGACTTAATGTGGTCTTATATTGCCACCACGGTTGCTGGACTTTGGCTACAATTCATTGAAGACACTCGGGAAGCTAATGTCACCACCCAAATTATGTATACAGTGTTTGTGTTTGTAAGAAATGGAAGCATGTTGTTTTGCAACAATTGCTGATAATTACTATCAATTTATGGCGGCCCTTGACCAGTTTAGAAAATTTCTTGGGTGCTAGCTTCGACTACAGTTAGTTATCTCCAGATTGCCTTATAGGTAAAGATTACATGTTCAGGAGACCAAGATGCCTTTGTTTTGTAACATTTTTAAAAATAATTACTTAATGTCATTAATCACCTTGCAAAGTTTTCAAATGAACGACGTTCCTTGTAGTAAATTATTCTTAAATATTTTAGTGTCTGAAAGGTATAAATATGAATTCGAATTGAGAAACAACTATTGTTTTTTACAGTTGATTTTTTTTGTGTGTAATGGCGCACACCCCGGAGATTAGAATCGTTACCTGTGGCTTATAAAAGTACATGGATTGCGTAACTACTGAGAATCGTGGGTTTTCTTGACCTACAAGAAACAAAATAGAGGTAATCTACTCGCACCACTGACCTACTTACGACGATATTCACAAAGTACAACTAAATATTTGAACTCGCGTTAAGTCATGACAATCTGGGCACATTGTATTTATTTTTGATCTTCTAGTTATTTCGAGCTTTACCTTGAGTGAAAGGAATCTAAGTGAAAGCTTTACGGGAGAGTGTTGAAGGTTCATTTTTAAGTCACATCTTAGGTTTTGTCAACATTGGATCTATTTTAGGAACTTATGATGTATTGTTGGTAGAAGTGTAATTGTACGCTCTAAATGTAGGCTTATTCTGTGAAGTAACGCAGCATTGTTTGATTACTGTTATTTGCACCTGCCCAATTCATGTCTTAGCTCAAGTTTGAAAGCAGAAAATGTCATATTGACTAGTGCAAACCCAAGGTCAATCTCCGTGCTGTTATGTTATGTATACAACTTGTCCTACATGTCTTTAAACGACGAAGTTGACCAACGTCAAAATGTAAATCTAGTTTTTAAATAGTTATCATTTACTACATACAATGCCGGATTAACCTGGTGTAGGCCCTGGGGTCTCGGGCATGCGCCCCCCCCCCACTCTTACACCTATGAAAAAGTCTTATAGATAAAGTGTAGGTCCCTATAGAATTTTGTGGGATTCTATAGACTACAGGAAAAAGAATTCATTCCGTAGATTCTTTCACATGACAATAGATTCGAAATAATTTCCTATAGTTTTGTATAGGATCGGTAGTTGGGTTTCTTCCAAGTGTTATTTCCTATAGAATTCGGTAGAAATTGTAAGAAACTATAGAAAAAACTTAGCTTATAGATTCTTCAGTACTGCTATAAAATTTGTGGTAAAAACTATACCTTTCTATATAACTAACTTGTATCCTCGAGTCAGTTGGTATAATCCTATAGTTTTGTATACATCTGGTTATAGAACTAACTTGTATTCTAGTCGTGTAATCATATACTTTCCTATGATATTTTAAAGAAAACTATAGAAAAGATATTTTATTCTACAGATATTTTGTAGAAACATATAACAGCTGAGCATTCTATAGTTTTCTGTAGAATTTATATGTATACTTAAACAAATTTAACAAAAACTATAGGTTCAATATGCTGCAGAATAATATAGGAACAATATGCTATACTACAGATTTCATAATTTGGAGATCCGCCCTTTAAAAATTAAAAATGCACTGTTGATTCTATAGAAATTATATAGTTTCCAGCAGAATCCCCCCCCCCTCCCCGGTGCTGGCGTTCAATATTAGTTCCCCTTCATTCATAGTGAAACCAATATTAATAACCAGATTTGAAAAGAGGTCTGTGGGAGTCGGATGGTGATAAATTTCAATGCTAAATCCAAATGGTAGAAATCATCCGAGGGTATCTATACTTCGCCCGGGTTCGAAATGTTTGGAAAGATACATGGTCTAGCGTCATTTTGGCGTGTATCTGTATGGAAGGATAACGTTGCCAATATTATTTCAATGTTCACGGTGCAAAATGCAGTTCAAAATACATATTTTAGTTTTACAATTTGCAATTTCCATTGCTCCACAATACTATTGCCACAGTGTTAAAATACAGAATACATTTTTCAATAATACAAAATACAGTATAATAGTTATTTTGCACATTACACTTCTCCATTTTGCATTTTGCATAATAGAACTTAGCAAATTAGAACATACATGTATACTATGGGATCTACGACGAAGCCCATTTGTACACGGAAAAAAGTTATGACTAGGACGGAAATGAATAATTTACGCGATCAATCTACAAGTTCAATTTCAGTAGAAGGGAGCGGTTCTCATATTTACAGACGTTCTGCTTCGACTTTGATAATGAAAACGGGCATACGTTATGCAGTGGCGGGGGGGGGGGCGAATGGTTAGCACGTGCG